GCCATCGACACATAAGGATATTGTCCAGTTTAATCTGAACACCAAGAAATTTACTGTAAATCTCTTTCCACATGCAATTCTAACAATGCAGCTATCACTGTATCTCCCCAGGATTCAAGATTATTTTGATGGACATTACTTTTTTTCCTGAGAAACACAATGTCTATTTACAAGTGCAAGGAAAGCCAATGCTTAATCCAAGGATTACAGCCAAGAAGTCCTGCTATGCTCAGACTGCTCCTTGGGCTTTAATTTGAAAATCCGTATACTACTTGCTAACTTCCTTACATTTAAATCCCAAAATACAAAGCATCTGAGGTCATAGCTGAGTTCTGGAAGAGACTCAAGAGTTAAATCTCCAGGGAAGTCAGGCAAGGCTGATAATTGGGTTCAGAGCAGCAAATCTTAAATTGTGTTATTTAGCCAATGCTCATCCCTGCATGGTAAAAGAACACAGGGCACCTAAATGGAGAAATATAAGTTGTTTGGGATGCCCAGGCTCACAGCCCACAGTTAAAGCATCCCTGGCATCTGTTCCCAAAGAACACCAAATTCTGCCTCCTCTTTTTCCTTGACATACAGCCAGCGTTTGTCAGTTTGAATGCAATCACCAGGCAGCTACTTTGGAAGGAGGGGATGATAGGTGTAATTACTGCACTACTAATTAGGATTTGCCTGGTTTACCCCGTGAACAGAGTGGAGTCACAACTCCAACGGGTTTTCTGCCAGCACAACTCCATTCATTCCTAAAGAAGGCCTTGAAAAGAGACAAGTAGAAACGAGCTCACACTTGGACTGAACATTGGTGCAATATTCTATATGTATGTGGCTCATAGTTCATACCAAAATTAAAAGGAACATTTCTGCCTGTCTCATAACACTTATGCCAGTAACTGGTAAAATTTTCCCTGGCCCTGTGATTCTGGAAACCATCCAAGCTCCACTGATCTTCATGGAAGCAAATCTGTGTGCTCATGAATCATTTGACCCTGAATCTTAAATTATTTCCTGAGCTGATATTTTCTAAGAATTAAATATGTTGCTTTGACTCCCAAGAATCATCTTCACTTTAAATGGGAAGAAGATGAAGCGGAATATTTTTTATATATATATTATTTATTTGATATATATATGTGTAAAACATACAATATATGTATGCATATAACAATATGTTATATGCAATATATATATATATATAAAGTCTCTAAACTTTCATTTTGGTCTTTTATATTTTCTGTCTACAAACACAGGCTCTTGGCAAGGTCCTTGGCTCTTTCTTAGGGCAAGAGGAAATCTGTCCAATTGTTTGACAAACAAAGCATCCTCACAACACTTTATAATTAATATGGAAGAAATTCTCCACCTAGCATCTCTAGTGTGACCACACTCAGTAGAATGGGAAATTTTTTTAAAATAATCAAAATGCTGGGTTATTTCTCTAATTTTTCCCTAAGATTTTTGCTGTCCTAAAATTTAACCTGGTTACTCTGCCTGTAGCATTTAAATGTCCTTGTTTGTCATTCCCCTTACAGACTGTTTGCTGCTCTGTCGTTTTCAATTCTATCTTTAATAGACAGAAAAGGGAAAAATACTTATTTTTAGGCTTAAAGGGAAACAAAAAGATAATGGAGCTCTGGAAAAATCTCAGGAAGCAAAGTGATAATTCCAATCACTTTGAGACTGGACAAGCCAGGTAAGGAAAGTTTGGTGGAATGGTTTTGTGAAGGTCTGACTTTAACAGGAGCTTGAGCAGGAAACATTCCCAACTCAGGACCTAAATCCTGGCTAACTTTTATGGCCTGGTGGCAGAATGCAGAGCACCAGGGCTCCACTCCGGAGCCGGGAGCCAGAGTTCCTGCGGCACAAGATATCCCACACTCTGTCCAATGAGCTGGAGACCGTGGAGTGTGGAGGCAGGTTATGCCACAACAGCTTGGGTTTAAGTTGTCTGGCTGTGGTTATGAGGAGCTGTGGACAAATGCTGCTTCTTCCTTCGCATCCTTTATTCCTTATTTTTAAAATCTTGGGGCTGCGCAGGAACATCAAGTCTCTGGCTGTTAAGGGACCATGTGACTGCTCTGGACTTTGAACTCAGATAAACTCCTTACTGAATGAAGTCATCTGTAAAATGCTTCCAATAGAGATTATTTTGCACCAGGCTGTACTAAGAAACGCAACAGAATTTCAACACATTTCAGAGGCAAAACAAAGGACCCGTCCTTGTCCTAAGTGCAGCGTTACCGAGGGAAGTGCCAGAGCCCCTCACACACACAGAGGACACTTGGACCAGGCTGTGGAACCAGATCATGGTTTAGCTTGGGGAATAGAATCATCCTGATTCCATATAATCATGCATCAGCTTTTGCCTAATCAATGCACACAACTTCATTTCCAAAAGACGTCTTCAGAAATCCCAATACCCTACGTTGAAATCAGTAAAATCAGGTCCAGACTGGACACGTTGGGATGGATCAGAATTTCTGTGTGCTTTTTAGTCTGGAGAGATACCAGGTTTTAGCTAATATTTGGATTTTTTTAAAAAAATCCCAGCCCTGATCATTATGGGGTTTTTTCCCTAGGAGCAGAACACCTGGCTTGGATCCTGGCTCCCTTCCAACCTGAGTCATTATGGACTGACCATGTAAGTTTTCCCTGTGGTTTTCACTGGATAAAGCATTCCCCTCCAGTTCCTCCTGTGAATGTTTGTACCTTGTTGTGGGGCACTAATCACCACCTCCTGCCCTCTGCCCCAGAGAGGGCTGCATTTTAGTAATAAGTGAAAAAATTCCCTAAAGTTATAATTATGTCCAGGTCCCCTCCAAGTATAGTTGGGATAGGCGGGGATATAATTATCATTTTAAACATAATTGTACAGGAGATGTGAAGTTGTTAACCCACGTTTTGAGTGTCCAGTGATCCATCAGCCATGATCTGTATCAGGATGGTGGCTCCTGGGGAGGGACAACACTTGCAAAGGGGCCAAAGGCTGATGCTGTACACACAGAAACACACTTGGAACACTCTTCCAATTAATCCATCCAACTGGGTAGCTTGGGATTTGACTCCCATCCCATAAGGATGTGACACTATTAATTGAGGAGACTGAAAATATGATGGGTTTAGATCAGGGCAAAACACCAAACGAACAAACAAAAAAGGGCAGGTTTTAGGGGGAGAGAGAAAATTTCCGGTGCCTCTGGTGGAAAACCTTTAGCAACACTGAAACAGAGCTCAAGCCATCGGCCCCTTCCAGCAGGGGACGGGACACATCGCCGAGGTGCGACATTGCCATCATGTGGCCATCCCAGCTCTGCAGAAACACCAGCAGAGGGAATCGGAACTTCACCGCAGATTTGCAGCTTTTTCAACTGCCTTTGTATTTGCAACCTGCAAGTGGTGATGCCTCTCCTGACATCCCACTCCAAAGAAAAAGTCTCTTCTCCAGATCTGCTCTCCTCTGTGTCAGGGAGCAAAGGCATTTTCCCTTTCCTGAGGCCCAGCGCTGCCAGGGTGACGCTGCACTGCCCAGAATAGAGCACAACTGAACATCAAAAACATACAGAAACATCAGAAATGACAAATGGAACATTCCTGATGTCAGGAAGCCAATCTTCAGGAAAAATCTGAATGAGAACAGCTCAATGGCCTGGATCAGGAAGGAACTCCAGCACAGGAAAATACATGGAAGTTAGTGTAAAGTCAGGAGTGGAAAACAAAGCTAATTAATCAAGTTAGGAATTTAAGAAGAAAATGAAGCAGTGACAGAGGGCAAATCGAGGTGGAATGCAGAAGCAAGCTGGGATAAAACATGCAGATGGAAAAGTTGTACATACTCAGAGAAGCAGCAACAGAATTAAACCAGATCCAGGGATGACAAGGGGCTCAATGAGAGCAGCAGTGAAGACAAATAAATAATTTTCTGCTTGAGCCAAAAGCTGTTCATCCACACAAAACTTGTGTTTTCCCTCATCTGGCACCCTGCCCATGCAGAGCGTGATTGAGCCCAGGGAATTACAGCCTTGGTGGGGGGGTTACAAACTTCCTAAAGGAGGGACAACCTGTTGCAGAATTACAACAGGAGCTTTCTGCCCAGCTAGCACAGCAGGCAGATACACAGAGAAATCATTTGGAAAGAAACTCAGTAGAACATTCGCCAGAACACCCAGATTTCAGCTATAAAACCTCATATCAAACAGCAACAAAGGACCAAGTGAGTTACTAAAACTCCAGAGATGGAAAAAGTATTAACAGGCACAGAACAGCATCTCAACTCCCACTGGTGCCTGGCCCTGCAAGAGCAAATCCTGTTTGTGTTCCTGTCTCCCAGCACCTGGCACCTGGAAACACCTAAAGGAACCTGCCTGCCTTGGAACAACTGGGGCCAAGTTCCTGCTCTGGGAAAGATCCTTCTGCAGCTGAACTGCCCAGACCGAGGAGCCAGGCAAGAGGAACCTCCTTCTTATGCACCATGGAATTTGCAGAGAAAGCTTGCAAGAGCCCAAAAGCGAAAACCTAAAATTCCACTGAAGGGAATCAGATCAATATTTCCTATTATCCTGAGCTGGAGCTGCTGAGATGGTAATTATACCATTTTTAATTTTTTTTCTCATGTTTGCATGTTTCTTTTGCCAGATTGAATCACAGAATAACCTGTATTCAATCCTGAAAAGTGTGGTTGTTTCTATTACACGGATTCTCCTGTCTAGGGTCAGAGGGCTGAAGCCAGAGAAATGTTTTTTGCTCATGTTTCTAGCAAAAATGCTGGTTTGTGAAAACTGAGAATGCTCCCTGGCTGTGAGAGTTTTGTTCTGTGTGTCACCAAGCAAGTTTCCATATGCTGCTACAAGTCTCAGTAGCTTTTTGAAGAGATTGTGCCCTATTATTTTTGTAGTTTTAAGTACAAAACAAATCGAAGGGTTGAATTAAAATATTACTTTCCTTTTTCACTCAGGACTGTCAGCTGTGTAGCTGACATAAACAGGGAGATTTTTCAGCAGAACATGAATGCAGGAGAGAAAACCATTTTCCAAGAGTTTCTGACAAACCAGGGCACCGTGGTAAAGCCCTGCTGGTGGCAGAGACAGTGCCATGCCTGTGCCAGGTGTCCCTTCCACATCCGGACGGGGGAAGAAGCCAGAGTGCCATACACAGAATTTCACAGGCTCTTTGGCTCCCCACACAGGCCCACAGCGACTCCCCAAAACAGGCACCTTCTCTTCTACGAACTGAGGAGCTTCTCGGGCAGAGTCCTGCAGAAAGGCCACGCCACAAACTGCACTGCCCGAGCCAAGCACCCCGAGGCTGTGCTGTTCGAGGCGGGCGGGTACCTGGACGCAGCCGCAGCCACCTGTGAAAGCATCAGGAGCATCATCCTCTACTCGAACCTCTCCCCCTGTGACGAGGCTCAGCACTGCTGCTTAAGGAAAATGTACAACTTCCTGCTGAGACACCCACACATCACGCTCTGCATCTATTTCTCCCAGCTCTGTCACACCGGGAGCGGTTCTCCCTGTGCCGGGGGCAATGCCAGGGCTCTGCGGAGCCTCCGCAGCCTCTGGCCTCGGGTGACCCTGCAGAGGCTGCCAGAGGGGGCCCAGCAGTACCTGCTTCGCCACTTCGTGTGTGGCATCAGAGGGGCGACCCCTCGTCACCGAGTGCTGCCAGCAGGAGCCTCAGCAGGTCGACAAAACCCACATCAAATTAACTTAACAGGAGCGAAAACGTATTTTAGGGAAGCCTTTCCCCAGGGAATGGAGGGGAACCTGGCTGTACAGCAGAATTTAAAGGCCTTTGCCTCTCCCAGCCCGGCCTCCCGACAGCCTTTCCCAGCCATGAAAGGCACTCTGCTCCCTCCAATGTCTCCAAGCCATGTGCTTTTCCCAAGTGTGTTTCTGCCCTCTCAGAGGAAACAGCTATACCTCAGACCCATAAATATTGTAAGGCATTTAAAAATGCCAAAGGAATGACTCAGTGGAACTCCTCATTCTGACATGTTTTCCCGTGGCATGCACCTCTTCTGAGGATGACACACATCCCTCCACTTTTGGGTGTGAAACTTAGATCACAGATGGCAAAAAGCACCACAAAAGTCCTCTCTTACCCACAGTATAATTGTGGGTCTCATAACTGATTGTGAACGTACTTTTGTTTTAATCCTCTACCTTTCAAACAAATCCAGAGTAGTAAACCCCAAACCTCCATGTTCCCTGCCCACAGCAGGGGGTTGGAACCAGATGACCTTTAAGGTCCTTTCAACCCAAACTCTCTGATTCTGCGATATTTTAATTACCTCCTGCAATTAATTTATTGCCTTTAAGCCAATTTCTACCAGAAAAATGTCAGCTACAGTCCCCAAGCTACAACTTCATTTACAGCTGGATTGCAGTTTCCCAGCTGAGGCAGCTTTGGTGGAACACATGACACATCCTAAATTCCTCCTCCATCAACAAGGTGGTCCTGCAGGTAGAGCTGATGCAGGAATAAATTTTTCCCACAAGCTGTTCCCTTAATAATAGGGGGGGTTATATATGCATATATATGTGTGTGTATATATTTATTTCTAGGGCTGCTCCCTTCCATTAAGAGGATTCTCACAAAGCTGTGTAATTTCCTAATTAATAATAGGGTAACAATTACCTGCACAGTCCAAGTGTAACTTTAAAAAAATAATTCTACACTTTAGAGCAGTGTTTTGTCTTTGTGATTCAGTATCTTTGTTAACATACTAAAGGTCTTAGAGAATGGGGCAAGGGGTGGTGGACAGAGGGACCCAGGCAGGCTTGGGAAGTGGGAGCATGGGAATCTCATGCAGTTTAACAGGAACAATTGCTGGTGCTGCACCTGGGTTGTGGCAACTCCCGGAATCAATCCAGGCTGGGGATGAACAGAT